GTAATTTAAAAATATATAACCACGACTTTCTAACTATAAATCTACAGCATGTTAATGTCTTGGTCAGCTATAAATCCACAGTATTGCAAAAACTTTCCCTATTAAATTATTAATAAAATGCCTTTAAAGCAGAAAAATCAAGGTAGAGAAGAAATGGTAAAAAAGTACAGGAAAGAGCTAAGACTGTGATTAACCTCCTAAGACCTGAACTCTTTCATTGCATGCACTTTTAATTTCTCTTTTCTATTTGGGCTGATTGGGACCTGATAAATGTAAAAACAAAGAATTACCTGAAAATTTTTTTAACCTGATTTTTGGTTCTGAGAAAAATGAGATCCACATAAGAGGATATTAGTTTTAAATTTCGATAGAACAGTGGCAGTATAATGTCCTCGTAAGTGGATATCAGGCCCTTGTAGAGTAAAATTGTAGAATGACAACCCAGGCTTGTAGAGCCTAGACAACCCAAAATGTGATGTCCACATATGCCAGGTCCCCGGAGATTAAAGACAAGTTTGCACCTTAAAGGATGTCACCCAATAACTCTCGAAAAAGCTGTTGATTTCAAATCAGTGCATTTTGCAGAATGTAAAATGCAATATCAAATCAAAGCCATGCTGAATTTAAGGTGAATTTAAAAAAGAAAAATGTTTACAGCAATATACAAGCTAAATTTATTGTGGGGAAAAACAAATTAGAAAGTCCCACTAGATGGAAAGGCTAGGGTTAGAGGCTTGGAAGAGGATGACAGAGTAAGAGAAAGAAGAGGAGAAAGAACTGTGGCATCAGTGAAAAGTGTGACGGCTACCCTGGCAAAAAAAAAGTAAAAATTTAAAATTATTTTAAATTAAAAAAAACATACAAAGAATAAAATTGCAGGTTTCTATTTTGCTGCCAAAAGGTTAATGGAAAGTCCAAAGTCAACAGACAAAGGGCAATATTTCCTAATATATTTATTTCCTAAAAACATAATTTCCCAAAGGGTTTGAATGAACACCATCACAGAAAAAGTGGCCAAGATTCCTATGCTTCACGTATGGATGCTGTACAATACTACCACAAAAAGGTAGCCATCACACAAAGCATCGAGCCTTGTCCATCTTCTGTGGATGACCACATCTCCACTGGCATTGCTGGGCAATGGCAGAGAAACAAATTTTCATGAGAGGAAACTGCCGGTGGAGATCTTGCAAGTACAGAAAGGGGTATTCAACAGCAAGTAACCAAAAACTGGATCATGCTCAAGATCAGGGAAGATAAATTTGTAAATAGTCCTTCGCAGCTCAAAATTCAGCCAAATAAGTCTTGACGGATAAAATATGTCCGTAATAAAATATTCAGAGAATGACATTGCTTATTAAAATCACCAAATTTCTGTTCTTAAATATGCTGTAGTATGTAATAGTCTGAAAGGGTTCATGGAGAAACAATTTTTTTAAAATTTAATGTTTAAGCCTATTGCTTAATACAAGTTAAAAAAAAGTTTTAATCAAATGTTTCAATTATTGTTACACTAGGGTAAGTAAACTACAATACTGTGGAGTACCAAGTTGAAATATCACTTACGTCCCGTCGTCTTAAGAGTGTCATTTGTATATATTCAAGTATTTTCTCACTCTTAATAATTACTTCACTTTTGATCATTTCCAGTTGTTGTTTTTTTTTCCAGTTGTTTTTTTTTTTCTGATCAAAGTTTCTTGCAAAATCTCAACTTTAGCTAAGTGTTTATTTTTAACTTAAATTTATTTATGTCTATGGATTAGCTAACGGACACGGCTTTTCCTGGCAGCTGACTTAGCTAGCTAGCTAAGGATGTTAATTACTAATTAGCTTGCAAACACACATTTAACTTAACCAAAATAAAATGCAATGGTGCCTCAGGTCCAATTTATTCCAGACCTAGATTAAAACAAGTAATCAAATTCAAGAAAAGATGGGTAGAACTGATTACGAAAAAGAAGGAGCCAAGTGCTGAGAACTGAAGAAACATACTATGTTCTACATGCTTAATGATGTGATGCAGGATGTTTGCCATGTTGAAATTCTAATCTCTGAGATGTCTTTTTATAAAATATCTCAAGGATTAAATATTTTACACTGACAGAAATGGAGGTTTCACTGGTCCACTTACAGCACACAACATAAAATTAGTTTGATATCCCTGCTGTATACCTTAAGCACAATTGTGAAAAAAACACGACAGCATCACATTACCTGGGTTACAGCATCTTGAGCATGTAACAAAACCCCTTTTCACAGTGTTGTATGAATGCTGGTCTTTGCAGATAAAGTATGTGGTGGATTATGTTATTTTCTTAGCTAATTTCTAATTGAAAGATAGCTTTATTAAGCTAGTTGGGCCCAGCATTGGTTGCTTTTTTTAATGGAACAGATTAAGAGTTAGCTTTAACGTCTTCGGTTAATGAAAAAGATTTTATGGTGTGATGTTGTGTCTCCAGCTTTTTGTTTCTGGTAGCACGCTTACACCATCATCTGGAGTTGCCGGCTTCAGCCATGTTCTCTTATTTACACTCCATTCTGAGCAACGCTATCAACAACAGTTAAGCTAATTTAAAAAAAAGTGCTACTTCCTGTTAGTAGAGAGACAGTAAAAATAATGATCGCACCACAACAGGATTCAGGAACATTACAGAGCCCTCGTGATCTTATTATTCCTATTGTACTTTATTTTCATACGAAGGCAATTCCCATGCGACACATTCATTTCCCTTGATTAAATCCTTGATCCTTGTTAAAAAAAAATAAGTCTAGAAGTTTGATTTAAACTCAGATGGCTGTTTCCTGATTTTCTCTGCCTCCATCTTTGTTTTACCAAATTCATCCCAAATACAAATGATCAAATCTGCTAACCCCACCAGAGGAAAAAGCAATATTTGATTTCTATTTAAATTTCATATAAAATGTTTTAAGGAAAGCCTAGTTTGGTTAGAAAAGCTGGCACCTATCACACTTTGTGTATTGTGCATTTTATATAGAATTTAATTAGATGAGTACTCAGTGTAGCTTGAATTGTAAAAATGTTTAAGGACCCTTTATATAAATAAAGTGTCTAATAATAAAGTGCAAATAAAGCATGGCTTCTTGGTCAGATCTCCTTTGAAAAAGAGATACACAACCCCAGGTGTGCATGTGTGCACAGGTGTTCCAGTTAAGGAATTTTTATAGAAACATAAAGGATTTTGAAGGATCACTTTAAAAGGCTGCAAACCAATTTCAGGTTGCATCGGCAGTCGACTCTGTCCATAAAAAGCAAACAAACAAAAAAACAACAACGACATGCTTTTAGTGCAGCTGCTTTTCAAAGTTGCAGGAAGATGGTAGTAAGAAAATGTTCCCATTTGGCCAAAAACAGCATTTTCAGTGCTCTTTGTGCTTACAGTTACACATTTAGGGCATTTTCACCAAATGTTCTTCTTTAGATTTTAAATCGCTCTTTTGGCTTTGTGGATGTTTCCTAATAAAAAAAAGACAGTTGCATTAAATGGTTAATCATCTGTATTCTTTGCATTTAAAATAGGCGTTTACAGTTTTCTTTTCAGTATTAGACCTGCTAGTTTTGCCCAAGTATAAAGTTCTCAAGAACAGTATGTGCAACTGTATAATTAGTCAAAGGAGCTTGCAAAGAAAAGCGTCTGGACTTCTTTGCAAGCTCCTTTGACTACGATGACCTGGATGACTGAGAACCTTCACAAACTGTATAATTACTTCCTGCAGATAATCAATCTGTCTCTTAGACCCCATTCCTACAAGACTGCTTAAAAACGTCTTACCATTAATTAATGCTTCTGTCTTGAATATGTGTATGCTGTCTTTATTAACGACCTCTGTACCACAGGCTTTTATTATGGCAGTAATTAAACTTTTATGTCAATTTTATGTCAAAAATTCTTAAGTAGTTGTAAAACAGTTAACCAATTATCTGCAGAGGAATGGTATATTTGAAGAGTTCAGTCAGGTTTCAGAACTCGTCACAGTACAGAAACAGAACTAGTGAGGGTTAGTAATATTACTTATGGCCTCTGACAGTGGACTCAACGTTGTCAATGTGTCAAATGTGTATTCCTGTTTTATTTTGCTGTTTTTGGTTTTGTTGTCTCGTTAGTCAGATTCTGTTCAGCTGTGTTCCCTGATGTTTCCCATCTCCCCAATTAGTGTTTAAAAATAGTCTTCCTTTGGTTTTTGTAACATCGTCCATGCCGTATGTTTTCCCTAAAGAACATAAATAGAATTACATTGAAATTCAACTGAGTGGCACTCTGTTCTTTGTTTGCTTACTTGCTGTGGAAAAAAGCAAGCAGCCTGTTCAGATTTTGTTTGAAAACTGAACTTATATTCATCGCAGGCTACTTGCTCATGGTGCATCAGTGACTTTATTTTGAGCTTGATTGTAACAGTTAACAAGTAGCCACAACAAAATCAATGGGATTTACATAAAGGATCCATTCAGGTCTGAGGAATTCCTGCAGCATGCCAGTACTTCTGTTATATCACTGGGTATGAAACAGAGTTAAATTCTATAAACATAATAGGAAAACATATCATCATCATATTCAGTTTCTTTCACCAGCAAACTTATGTTTTACTTATATACTCACCAGCAACTTTGTTAGGTACATTTGTTCTTCTGCTCGGTAACACAATCGTTTAACCAGCCAATCACAGCGCATCAACTCAGTGCATTTAGGCATGGTGTAGATCAGCGGTCCCCAACCCCCAGGCCGTGGACCGATAGTGGTCCATGAGTTGTTTGGTACGGGGCCATGAGACTTGAGGCTCGGGTGTGAAATTTATGGTTTTCGGGGTTTTTATCTTTATTTTTTTATCAGGGACCCAGGGAAATCACTCGGTTTCCCTGGGTCTTTTCTCGTGTGTTATGAATAAATCTTCTTCTTTTTTGGTACTGGTACTGGTTTTATTTTGTTGTATTTATCCGCGACCACTTAAAGGCCGGTCCGTGAAAATATTGTCCAACATACACCGGTCTGGTTGGGGACCGCTGGTGAACATGACCTGCTGAAGTTCAAACTGAGCGACACTAACAAAGTGCCTGCTGAGTGTAGCATAAAATGTCTCAGAGCTGATCACTCAGTATCTGGAAGGGAAGGCTTTTCACAAAATTACTTTCTGCAACAGTGGCATCCAATTACAGTACCACACTTAAATTCAGTGATCCTAGAGGCATGGTCCAATACTATTGTCCATATAGTGTTGCATACAGTTACTATGGTGGAGGCTCATGTTAAACAAGGCCATGGTTTCAAATGATCCAAGCGATAATATCTATGCGTCTGAAGTTCAGGCTTTAAACCGCTAAACACTGACAGTTTTTTCTACCCTTGGCTCTGTATGATGTATTAATATTGTCATCTCAGGCACAGATCTGTTGTGAGGACATCTACGAACCAGAAGAAAGTTGTCATAAAGGAGAGGGAAAGGAAAATTATTTAAAACTGTGAATCATGAACAGCTGCTCTAGCAGATTCCAAGAATAAAAATATAGAGTTGTTTAATATAAGCAGGGAATCTAGAGGATACACGGCTGCCCGTGGAAACACAAATAAATAAGGTTAAGTTTTGAATATTATAATATTAATTATGCTATTATTCCTTACTCTAACCTATGAACAACTAAAAAAAAGTGATAAAGGTACAGTGTCCCAGGATAATTGTGAACTGTCCGGATTTTAGGGAAACATTTCATATTTCTGTGCCAAATAAATTTAGTACAGAAAGTAAGGACATTTGTTTGGTTGATGCTTTGAACAATGCTTCTTGGCAACAAATCTTATGTGGCTGAAAAGCCGGTTTATTCTCCCTTAAATGGTGCTACATTTGTAAGAAAATGTATTTGTAGGTTGAGCAGTCTGTGGGTTGCGTCCATGAAAAAAATTGCCAAATCTTCTCTACCAGTTATTTTGCTATTGAATCTACAAATGCAATTGTTACAAAAAAATTAAAAAGACAAAAGAAGAAAAATCAACCAACCACAAATGTCCTTACTTTTTGTGCTATTTTTTACATCGGAATAAACATACAGGTTCAAAGGAACTCGTGCATCGCATATTCACAGCATGTATTAGAAAAGATCGGCTTTCTTCTTCATGTCATTACGTTTCCAAAGTGGAAGTCTGTCAAATTCTTGAATATCCATTCCAAAGATCTGGAGGAATGATTCTGGGGACAGGTGACGCTGCAAAAAGAAAGCAGGATGAACTAAATGTTTCTGTGCATAAAGCCGCAGAGTAATTCTGTCTGATTATTTCTTAATATAAAGCTCAAACATTACATTTAAGTGAAACTTATAACTATTTTTTTAAGAAAACCATTTAAGCCACACCTCAAGTCTTGTTCTGTCAACATCCCTGGGAAGCTTCACTCGTCCTCTGTTACTAACTGTGAGCATTTCATATGGATAGATCTTGACAAACAAATAAAAACCATTTGAGAACATTTCATTAATTAAATCTACACAACCTCATCAGGTCTTAAAATTTGGTAAATACAACTTAAGATGAAGAAAAATACATAACAAGTTACAGTTTCATTGTTTAACACAAACTAAGCCAAAGTTCAGAAGCAGTGTGTGAAAAATAACAAGTCCACCCTTACTGCTTCCATAGAAATTTAGTGGGTAAGTATTCGCTTGTTAATTGATCATCAACAAATGTGAGAACTTGTTGCATAAAAGCAGATGTTTTGGCAGCTTGCTGGTCTGAAGCATTCAAGTGTGTTAAATGTTTAAGTTCATGGCTGTACAATTAGAAAACATCTCAGGTTTGCAAAGTTGCATCTGAACAAATCACAAGACACCTGGAACAATGTATTGGGCAGATGAAACCAAAGTGGAGATGTCTGGCAATAATGCACTGGGCCATGTTTGGAGCATTTGTTATGGAGCACTTTATATAAAATCAAATGTGAGGCCATCTGTCCAACAACTAAAGCTTGGGCAAAACTGGGTCCATGCAGCAGGACAGTGATCCCAAGCAAAACCCAAATCACAACAGAAAAAGTCATACTTTATCATTACTTTAAGTTATGTTGCTAAACATGGTGTAATGTGTCATGTTGCTGTTCAACTGAGGTTGTATTTACATATTTTCAGGACCTGCTATGGAACCAGACGCTATATCCCTCAGCCGTAAAAGGCCGATGTGGTATTGTCATCACACCACCATGTGGGTGCTGTGGAGACCCAAGTTTGTGATTGCAATAACCCGAGAACAAACCAACTTACTTTTTTGGAATCACACCATAGGTGCATCTACTAAAACTCTCATGTGATATAAGTGTGTTAAAAGACAAATTATATAATAAAATAAAATATAATACTTGCATTTGGTTCCAACAAATTAGGCATAGACACTCCTCTCTCCATTTGTGTTAATGGGTACTGATGGTCATAGATGAGCTACAAAATGAAGCAAACACATGCAATTGGAAAATATCATGACCTGATTGAAGACTTGCTGATTATGTCCAGATAAATGCGAGTAAAGCTGAATATATGCATGATTAAAAAGCGGGTTATGTAGAAATATGAGTTAATAAAGATATATTCACACAATGAGTTAGGCCAGTTCTTCAAAAAAATATGCCACAAACCAAACAGGGAACCAGGACTGACTCGAATACCAACTCCATTCAGTTACTGTCACATACCCTGAAGTCTGAAAGAGAGAGAGTAAATCCCAACAAAGTGTAATTAATTTCATTTTAATGGTAGTTAAAATAGTAATTAACCACATCTGTCTACATGGATACCTCTGCATCTGTCGTCATGGTAGTGGGAGAAATCAGCTGGCCGTGGCTTAGAAAACACATGAAAACAAAATTTTCACAGTATTAATATAATAACCTTTTCTAAAGTGTTTATTTAGCGCCTACATATATCAAATAGAAAAGCATTAAAAATAAATAAACTGTATTTTAATACACACACATATATATATATATATATATATATGTGTGTGTGTGTGTGTGTACAAAATTAAATGTTTGTTTGTAGATGTGTCTCATTTAATTTGACTTTAAAACAAAGCTTAATCAAAGTGTGTCTCTAATTAATTCAGCAATTAGACGAATGTCATGTACCAGGCTTATGCAATCTTTCCAAAGTGAGATTTAAGCATTAGTAACGCGTGTCCTACCGGGCTGAGGCTGTTCCGACCGGGCAAAGAGGATGCTGGGGATGTCGAGGAATTTGGATCTGTGTGAAAGCAGACAGATAAGCTCATCACGAGATGATTTACATTCAGACTGGGATCTTTGCCCGAAATAGACCTACTGAGAAAAATTTACCTTCTCCGGTTCTTAGCTCAACCATTTACTACTAACTATACTGCAAAACTGACTTTAAAATATCTTGTAGTGACTTGAGGTAAAGTTTTATCAAGATCTTAAGGTCTTGATAAAAAGTCGTTTCTTTAGCTTAACTTACAAAGATACAAATGCATACTTTTAAACAACACAATTGAAACTTAAATGTAATTTTGAGTGATTCAAGCATAACTTATACCAGGTTTAAATACTGTACCTTGCTGTTTATAAATCGGGGCCCTCCTGTACACGTTGAAGCTTTCGTCTGCTGTCAGAAAAGAATGCAGTATTAGCAGATGCTTCATTTTTTTCACTACTGCACAGTGGAAACATTAGATTAGTATGAATGTATGTCTCTGGAAGGTGGCTGTCAAACTATTCCACTTTTATTCTCAGTGTTTTAAACAGTTAGTATTAACACTAGCGTCTTGCTTGAAATTGAAAACATCAACCCTCAAAATCAGGAAGCATTTCAAGCTATGAAAAATGCAAAAATGGTTTCCTTAAGGCAGTTAGTTTGTAATCTACCACAACAAAAACACAGACCAGTGACGACTGATCAAAGCTCGGCAGATCTCGTTCGCACACGATAAACTTCACTCAAAGGCACAACGCTGCTATAAATAGCCACAGCTGCACAGGAAGTTGTGTGTGAAGTTGTAAAGAGACTGAAATATTTATTTATCGAATCAATCAAAGCCATTTTAAAATAATTAAACCAGGCAGAATTTAAGTTCTGAATTTTGACCACTAGGTGGCACAGTGTTTCAAAGAATAAAGTGAACCATGCGTGCTAGTTCCAAATAGTTTGTTGGCATTATTTTTGTGTTTCAGACTTCATCCAAATGAAATCCAGTGCTGCGTTCACCATTAAATAATTTGGGTTAATAAGGAATACAAAATGCAATTTAACACACTAATAGAGGAGAAGACTTAAAGAGGGTGGCACAGAAGCAGGGGTCTTACCTTTGCTTTGAGAGGGAAAGGTGTGATATAAAAGAGAAGGAGGGGAAGTGCCAGTGTTGCCACAGAATAAAGAGGAAGAAAGCGGGAACCCTTTGGATTTCGGGAAGTGCAGACAGAAGGAGTTGTGGTGGTAAAACAGAGAACAGCTGAACATGGGATGCATTTCATATCTTTAAACAAGAGTGTTGGTATGCTTCTTTTGTGTTATCTCACCTGGTCGGTGGAAGTGTTGTGGTGATCTGGACGAAGTTGGAGTGTAGCTATGGCGATGATACATTGTAGGAAGTCCGAAAGGCCCTTGGCTTTTAGATTTGGGTACACGTGTTCTTATTTCAAAACTCTCCTGAGAAGAGGAAAACAAAGCCAGCTGAAACTCCACGTGAAAATAAATCGATTTAAAGGGAAGACTGGCTCACACTGTATGATACCAGATTTCATGGTATTTCTGTGCGTCTGTTGTAAGTAAAGTTAATAAAAGTGTGTTTTACCTCTGTGGGTTCAGTTTTGATTTCTGGTGACTAAATCAGACAAAGAAAAGAAGCAAAATCAGCACATTCACTGAATCGCGTAGTTAATTTGAAGGTAACACAACATATGGGTGATTCCATCCCAAATTAGAAAGTTTATACGTTTTCTCCATGTGTTTTATCTTCATTTGTCAGTCTTAGAGGCAATGCTTGACAATGAAAATCTAAAAAACTATAAAAAAAAAAAAATCAAATCCTGAATCCCTTTTAAAACGACTCAGGATCTGTAATTTGGGACAGATACATCTCAAAATATCTGAGTATTGGTTTATTAAAATAAGATTTTTTTCATTTTTAGACTAAGAATTTCATGTTAACAAGTAATCTGTGTTTTATTTTTGCATGACTATGAAATCTGAATGTTTAGAAATACTCACTAATTGTCTTTTGCAATGTCAAGGTTGTTTATTTTAACTAGTGCACACTCTCAAATATGGGACTTGACAGGGCTTCTTCAATTGTTTTCATATTTTAATTAGTCCGTATGAAGACATTTTTCGATGTATATGTCCCAACTACAGATTCTGGTTCATTGTGATGGCAAGTGAGACCAGTGAAAATTTGAGGCTTGTATCTTTAATAGCTTTCGAGAGATTCATGTTCAAACATTGACTCAGATTTCAATGTGAGATAAACACATGAAAGTGGATTGATGGACCATTTTAATGTAAAAATTTAAACTTGAAGCACTCTTGCTTCAAAGCACACTCTAAGGGACAATTCACAAAAATATACATGCTTTTTCTTCTGGTCTGTGGCGCTATTTATCCATCTCGACTGTTCTGATGTTAGCTGCCAAGTTTTGGCTTCTTTTGAATACAACTGAACTAAATGGCAAGCACCAAAAAACATGTTGGAAAACCTCAGCATCGGTGCTTCCACTGATCTAATTTTAAGCAGTTTAATGTAGGAACTCTGACTCCACCTACCAAACTAAAGGAAGCATGCAGTTACCTCACATTACAGCTAAGCTCAGAGAGACGTCATTACTGCTGCCACTGTCATGAGCATCCACCTCCCTGCACAGCATGCTTCCTTCAAGACAGTGAAACAGACTAAATAGATAAATAGCTCCACATTCCACAATAATGACATGCATATTTCATTTTAGGGTGATCTGTCCCTCTAAAGAATTGTTTTTACAATAGATGTTTTTATTTTCTTAGCCAAATACAACTAAACACAAGAATGAGGAAAAACAAGACTTTACTTGGTTAGACTCCTAAATAAAATAAACACACAAACATGTCACTCGACACAAGTTTGAGCATTGGATGAAATTACCTCTGCAGGACTTTTTTGGACTCTTTGGCTGTGTTGTGTGTTTCCTTTCTCATCCAAAGTAGAGGGGTGGTCATTCACAGACTTATAAGATATCATATCAGGATACTCAATATCATATATAGCCTTGACTCTGGGAATTGCTGCTAAGTCTCTGTAATCAATGATCTCATTATCTACTTTGGCCTGGGAGCAGGACAGGGAGGAAAGGAGAGAAGAGGATGCACAAGGAGCAGACACAACAGATTAGGTCTTATGAAAGGTCAAAGGTGTCTTATTACATCATTTCAGGGAGGAATTAAACTTTAATCCCGTGATTTAGGCACATGAGGTGAGCGGATTCCATCAGTCTAGAATAAAATCCAATGTTTTTGTTTTAACATGCAAAATGATTTCCAGGCTTTTGTGCACAGCAGAGGTAGTTTTCTTATATTCTGAAGTGTTTTGGTGGGAGTAAAGTTTATTTCATTTCTGTGGGTGATAAAAAGCTGGGTGGAGGAAACGAATTACACCGAAAGCACCAGTTTTTGTGATCAAAGTCGGTCTGAATGCATTCGAACCCTGATTTTCTCAGTAAATTTATGGATGCATTGACATTCTTTATCATTCAGCCACAACTAAAATCACATTTTGCCTAACAAGCACCAAGAAACTAGTTCCAATCAGTCAAGGTACCACTTGTTGAATTATGTTACTGATTTTAATGTTCTATTTCCCTAAGTGTTCCTCCACATTTCACATCAATATGAATTTTTTTGCAAGGGGGAAACTCCGTCCGTGCGACTCCCCTGTATAAATAAAGGATAGGTCAAACACAGATCAACCCACGGTGAATCACGCACCATAGACGCAAATGCTGGCCTGTGAACTTACACAGATGGTTCGACCTGGGCTGCCAGGAGTGCATGAGCCCGGCCTGGAACAGGAGCTTTCAGATGATGATCTAGTTTGCTGAGAATGGGAGAGAAAAAAATCAAGCAACAGAAAGAGCTACCTTGGAAACGGTACTCTTTTTTTGCTGTCGATTGTGGCTTTTCACATGGCTTTACATCAACGCACACACAAGCGTTATTTTCAGGAATGCAATCCATGGCACACTCAGTGTACAATAGAGGCACTTAACTAAGTAATGTGATTATTTAAGAGATTTCCAGCCAATTTCAATGTGGTTGATGGCAAAAAAAAGTGTGAAGGCGAGCATGCAACACTGCCAACAAAGTTCATTCAGAAGCAATAGCTTATTAAAGGTCCTGCTAATCATTGTGCAATGTAAACAAATCTAATGTAGACTGTGAATCAAATGAAACAAGCTCTGATTTGACCAGCCAGGTGAGCAAAGTGTCTGTCATATTGAATTGTGAAACAAGCACGTGTGGTTAATCTCGAATCACGAGATCGCAGCCTGCTCACTGCAAACCGCAGACCTGCTCGCAGTATTAACCTTCAGTTCATGTTGAGGGAAAAAGAAATCAAGACAGGGCGTTTTAGGTCTCCCGACCTGGGGAGGAATACATCTCGTAAAGAAATCACCTTTTACAGCTGCAGTAAGTCTTTGCTCTGTGAGTTTGTAAAATCACTTATATTTGTTTCAGAAAATGATAGTAAGAATCCTCAAACTGCCTCTAACATGTTTAACAATGAGTAAAAAAAAACCTTACCCTGTAGCTGTCCTCCATTCTGCTGGTTTCTCTGCAATCTGGGTGCCAAATTACTGATCCTGTGAAAGAAGAGACAATTGATTTTTGCAACTTTTACCAAAATGAGAAGACTTTTACCGTTTTTAACCAACAGGACCGTTCTTATGCATTCATCAATGACCAAAAATGCTTCTTGGTCTCGAATAGACCGGCCGTTTATTTAAAGACAGGCTACGATCTCAAACTGACCTTGCACATACATTTCTTCTCCTTCTGTGAACATCCTGTCGCATTGGCTGCATCTTGCACAGCTGGGGTGATAATGTCTGTCCCCAGCCTAAGTCAGATAATGAGGAAGACAAAAGTGGCTCACAGACTGCGTATGTGCAGGAGCTGCATGAAATGAACAGCTGCAGAAATCACATTGCAGTTCACCAGGTTACGTCTGCCCAGCAGTGTAGTTGGACCGCTGACTAAATGAGGTGTTAACAGCCTAGAGTGTGGTCGTTAGAGTGGGAGGACACTTGTTAGGAGTGGGAAATGATAATAGCCATTAAATAGACAGATAACATTCAAAACAGGTGATTAGACCTTTTTAGGAACAGAAAAAGTGGCGGCACACGCGACGCTCCAGGGAAAGAAGTTGCATGAACACTCAGCAAAATTAAAGACAGGCAGCTACGGACTACAAAGAGGAATTTAACAGATTTAAATCTCTGAAGGGCTTCTGAGACTAATGTTTGTAATAAAATGTACTGCAACAGAAAAAGAAACAAAGACTCTTCGCTGAAAGCCGACCTCTCTTACCTCTAAGAGTTTTCCAGTTATAAACTTCTGACATGCTTCACATTTTACCCCAAACTGAATCTGGTAGTCTCTCTCACAGTAGGGAACTCCATCCCTGAAAGATGCACATGACATACTCTTACCCAGCAGTACATGTAGAACTTTTATATCATCATTTTAGCAGCATTCATCATATCATACTCAATTTAGAAATAAAAGATTAAGGAAGCGGAAGACAAAGCATATTGAATGAGTGAGTACATGAATGAGACATTTATATTTACTTGCTGATATATTCTCCGCTCAACGCTTTCCTGCAGGTTTTACACTTGAAGCAGCCTAGGTGCCACTGGCCTCCGAGGGCTAATAGAGCCTGTCCATTCTTGATGTCTCTCCCACAGCCAGTGCAGTCTGAAAACACAACATATACGTTTATACTCAGTGGTCACTTAGAAGGCAGCTGCTCAACTTATTAGACATGCTCAGCTGCTCATTAATGAAAATATCTAATCAGCCAATCACATGACATTTAGCCATGTAGACCTTGGTGAAGACACCCTGCTGAGGTTCAAACCAAGCATCACAGTGAGGAAAGGGTATTTCAGAAACTGTTGATCTGCTAGGATTTTACCACACAACCATCTCTGGGGTTTACAGAGAATGATCTGAATAAGAGAAAACATCCAGAGAGCAGCAGTTCTCTGGATGAAAAATGGCCTTGTTGATGCCAGAGGTCAAAGGGGAATGGCTGGACTGCTTGGCGCTTATAGGAAGGCAACTGTACCTAAAATAATAACTCATTCATTTATATTTGGTATGCTAAAAATAAATACAATGACAATGATGAAAAGTAAGAACAATACCAAAAAAACCAATGTTGGGTCAAAATCCAGAAACTATAAATGTGTGTTAAGATGAGCTTTAAAGAAATGTATTCCATAAACTAGGGGAGGCAACAGAGAATGCCCTGTCCCCTCTGAGCTTCCATTTTTGGGCACCTTAGTGCTGAGTAATGTTTAAACACCACAGGTTACATGAGTGTTGTTGCTGACCATGGCCCTCCCTTCAAGACCTGACTCTACCCATCTTCTGACGGCTGCTTCCAGCAGGAAACACATCAGAGCTCTTATCATTTCACCTGGTTTCTTGAACATGGACAGTAAGTTCACTGTAGTAAAATGACCACAGTCGCTGGCTCTCAATCCAATAGAGCACCTTTGGGATGGAACTGGAAATTCAGATCATGGCTGTGCAGTCTATAAATCTGCAGCAACTGTGTGATGCTCTCATGTCAATATGGACCAACATCTCTGAGGAAAGTTTCCAGCAGCTTGATGAATCTCTGCCATGAGAAAAGCACCTTTCCGCACACTCCTGCGGAGAGATCCTCTTAGTCCAGAGGCTTTGTGAGTCCAAATCCCCGATTTATCCCCCATTTATCTATAATCAGTACACAGATGAGGTCAAGCAGAGGTAAAGAGTTAAGTTTTACTGTATCTCTTGCTTCATACTGGCAGGTTCACAATAGGATGACTGGATTCATGAAGGAAAGTCAACTTAAAGGGTTGTAAAGAAATCCACAACAGCTGCAGGCGGGTATTAGACTGGATTTAGTGACACTGTGTAGCCGTCATAGTGATAAGAAACGTGACATTACCCAGACACAGAAAAGCCTTACAATTGATGATTGATTTCTTTCCCCCTCTTACATGCAGATTTCATGAATGATCCCAAATACTTTTGTTATCCAATTCGTTCTATACAAGCACAGGAGAGTCTGATGTGCTACCTGCAAAACAGTGAAGACTTAAACTTCCTGTTTGCTAACAGATGTTGACCTTGAATGACTCTTGAAGACAGGATAGACTAAATACACAAGCAGCTGGCAGAAGACCCACAGCTGGCCAGTGTTCAATGTATAATCCACTGTCTTATTAAAACTACAAGGGATCAAAACCTTTGATATATTTTTAAAATATTTTGATATGAACACTGCTTAGAGAGTATGCAGGAATGCTCTTACTGCTGGAATAGCTGGTGGCGTTTGGAGACGGCGACACAGGTTCCATACAGCGCTGGCAGAGGCAGTCCCTTCCAATGAAGGTGACACAATTCCCAGCAGGAAAAGGCTGTCTGAGAATCAAAGTAAGAGACACACTTATACCACAGATTTGTAAGACATGTATGTAGAACTAAAACCTCCCAAACATCTTTTTTAAGATTACTTGCAAATGGCGCAAACAAAGCAGGCTGGGTGGTAGGTCTTCCCCAACACCGTAACCACCTCTCCCTCCACAAATTCTCCACAGCTGTTGCAAGCTGTGCCATGACGTCGCTGGAAGTCCAGCGGGCAGAGGTAGTCCCCATTCCTCATGAAGAAGCCACTCTGAGCTAAATCACAGCCACACACTGCACAGAGACACATTCAGAGAAAGATCTGATCAATATTACAATGTTTTATATCAAGACTGTTACAAGTTAGTGATGTATGCTCTATTTAGAGACTTTGCCTGACCCATTTATCTTTAAGTCATTGCAGACATCTTTTTCATCAAAACCCATCAAACCTTTGACCCCACTTTAAGTTGGTCTAAAAAGTAATATTTCTTACTTTTCCCTTTGTCTTTGTGCATTTGTTTACTCTGTTGCCCTTTAGTTTAGTTTTCAGACCATAGCTAACGTAAAGTGTCACCTTCACTCTGGATGTTGTCACAGTAGGAAGTTAATAAAGCATCGGCTATTTCTGCTCCCTGACCCTCTGATTTTTAAGGCTTCCTGAAACATTTCTGTGGTTTTGTGCATTACACACAATGTAAACATTGTGCGTGTGTACTGATCAGCTTCGTGCCAGTTTACAGGCGATATATAGAGTTGTCTGTCTGCTTGTTATTAGTTATTTGATACTGCAGCATCCAACCTGTCCTGCTGCGCCTGCCACAACAGAATGCACACAATGCCAAGGACAGATTTGTGCTGCTCTATTCCTGTCCACCTGCTACTCTCTAACAATGTAAACAAGTTCCAAATTATGCTATTTTGAATTCAACCATCTTTGAACATGTCCCTGCTTCCATGTTCAAAGCAGGAGATTTTTTTTAATCAATAGAAACTTTGTGCAAATTTCTTTAAATTTGCACAAAAATAATAACAGTCCTCCACAAAATATCAACAGCCCTAATTCACTGCATTTTAACAAGGATATTATATTTTACTGGCACCAAGTTGGCGAAAGCTTAACACTGTCCTTGGCCACATAAACAGCTGAAAAATAAATCACACATCTTATACAATCAAACGCTAAACACAACACATCTGATATGACACAAGATTTACTTTAACATAAATATTAACATTCATGTGAAACTACTGGGATAGCTGCTGACCAGAGTTACTACCTCTTTGGCTCACTGCAATATTTTTTCCTGACATTTGAATTTTTGTATGAGATATGTTTACGAAATGAGGTAGTGGTATGATTTTGCAAGCAACAGACTCAAAAAAGACTGACTGAAGAACAATAACAGTAACAGTGTTTGGTTACTTTACTTCAAAATGTCCTGTATTTTAACAGCAATGTGTTGCAGTGTAACACTGATAGACACATTTCTGACAGTCAGACATTGATTCATTCGCCCTGCTCTCTCCGTACTGCAAGCTTCTCTTCTCTGAAAGTCTCTTTGTTTCCCCTGCGCTGTAAACATAGTCACAATGACATGAAAGGACAACAACACTAGAAGCTTGTCAGAGCTTATTAGTGGGGACAATTGCTTGCAGAGGAAGCACTGCATGTTTTCCACGAAGCAGAGTAACACCACTGATTGGCCATTTGACAACCCAGGTGGTTCTCACAATAGACTGCTGAATTACTGGCCTGTTGTCCTCAGGAAAATTGCATCACTGTCTGGTTAGACAAAGCCAGACTGAAATGGAAATGACAATCAGGAACATTGTTATAAACAGATTCCTCTTTCAGCCTAAAACTCGAGTGCTGCGTTACCAGGACAGTAATACCAGTGCAGTGGTGTCCTTCCATCAACACTCACCTTTGCATGTAAAGCAGTTTATGTGGAAGTAGCTGCTCTGAACACGCAGCACCTCTCCTCTGCATGACTCCCCACACCTGAAGCAGCAGATGACCTTCTTCCCTGCTGGAGGGCAGGGGTGGCAGCTATCCTGGGTGTGTAGTACTACATGAACACAAGATATAAATAAATTAGTTAAGTATGGATCAGTCGATTAACTGCTATAGTTTTGCTGCTTTACACTGCTCTTTTTTGTCTATTGTATGCAACAGAGTTGTGCATTGCAGAGTCTTCCATAATTATTTGCAAACTAATATTTGCAACATCATGTTGGTAGAGGAAACTTCCACAGACACAAAAGTCTGTGAACATGTTTAGCAACATAGCATGTTCACATTTGCTAATAAGTGCTTAAGACGAGATGAGGACTGGCCATTTTTTTGCAGGTGTTTTAAAAAGTAATTGGACGAACTAAAATTTTGACCTGTTGATCCAGAATTCATCCTGTGGGGACCATGAATGTCCTCAGATAATTTAAGGCAACTTGCCCAGTACTTGTTAGGACAGTGTACACCAGTGGTTCTCAGACCACTAGTTTAAATGCTCCCATTTATGATCATGTCTTTTTTTTATTATCAACCATTAGCAACAGAACAAAACTGAGTTCAATTTTAGGGAAATAAAGAGTATCATTAAAGGACTTACTTATTTTCTCACAGGTTTCACTCTATTTTCCCACTCTATTTGTCTAGAACCAGTTGGTTAAACCTACAGTAATTCCCTGGAGCCATGCAAACCAGTGAGGTTAAAACACAAAATGTGTCGCTGTGCCCCTCATATGTACACAAATGTACACGCCCACAGTGCCATTACATGACAATCAACATTACTTCATTTTCTAATACAAGTCACTGTAAAGCAATCATCTCTGTCATCATCGTTTTTCATCCATAGGAGGAATTTATCCTGCTCTGCCTGAACAGCTCATAACGTTAATCCTGTCAGCCAGTCAGTTCAGCTTTTACATAACTGAGATAAACATACAACCCAAATCTGAAAGGTTCGGACTCTGTGTAGTATGTAAAACCTGTATTTTATTCACATTAGAACAAAGAAAAATATCAGATGTTTGAACTAAAATATTGCACTATTTCATGAAAGGTATAATATGCATTTTGAATACAATGGTAGCAACATTTTAAAAAGTTGGTATTAAAAAGAAAAGGCTGTAAGAACATTTCTCGACAAAGTATTTAACATGACTGGGTTAAAAGAGCTTCTTAGAGTGGCAGAGCTAATATTCCTCACATAAAATTGTGCACATTTTAAATATTTCATCATATACGTTACACAGCATCATCAAAGGCTTTCAAAAATTTGGAGAAATCTCTGTGCGCACGGGACAAAGCTGGAAAGTATTTGTTTTCTCATGATCTTCAGACACTCAGGCAGCACTGCACTAAAAACAGGCATGATTTTGTTGTGGAAATCACTGCATGGGCTCAGGAACACTTCCAGAAATCACTGTCTGTAAACACAGTCCACTGTGCCATCCACAAATGTACGTAGGCTGAAGGGTGTATTATCCAAAAGCCATTTATGAATATGATCCAAAAAGCTGCCTTCTGAGGGAAATCTAATGTAAAATGAACTGAGGCAAAGCAGAAAACTGTTTTGTGGTCTGATAGATCAAAATCTGTTCTTGGAAAAGTTCTTCTTGGAAGAACACCAAGCAGGGGACCATCCAGACGACGTCTTTTTTAGGGACGGCTTTGCATATTTCAGCAAGACAAAGTTAAACATCTATTACAACAACATGGCTTCATACCACCCTACGTGCAGTCTAGGACTGCGTGGTCTGGACTGCATTTGGCACCACATGAAACAAAAAATACAATAAAGAAGACCCGGCACTGTTGAGCATCTAGAATCCTGTATCAGACAAGAATGGGGCAACGTTACTCCCCCACCCACTGCCACAACTTTTGTTGTAGATATTTTGCTGCCATCAAATTCAACATGAGCTAATATTTTTCTTAAATCAGTACATTTTTTCAGTTTAAACATTTAATATGTTTCTAGGTCCTATTGTGGATAAAATATGGATTTAAGAGACTTGCAGAATCATTGCATTCTCTTTTTATTTACAAGAGAATATTTACTTTTTACACAGCATCCCAGCTTTTTCAGAACTGGGTACATGTGCTTAATTACACATCCACAGACTTTGAATACAGGCTGGCCAGGTGGATATTACCTACCCCACAAAAGTCAGACAACATCATAAAACTTTTTTTCCACCATGGAAACATAAAAATTTTAATGTTACAACACTTTTAGTAGGTATAATGTACAAGAGCAGTGGCCCTTGTGCAAAGTTTTGTCTTATATCTCACTAAAACTCTTAAGATAATTTCTCTTTCTGTATCTTTCTGAATGGCAGCACCAGCGTGCCTGTACAATCTAATCACAGCCTCTTGAAACGTCCTTAATGTGATTATCTAAGGAGAGGGAGGAAAGAATGTGTTGTGTCGAGAGCAGTCTGTCATCCAGTAATCGGACACTCTGCATACAAAGACATAGACACATGAATTTCATTTTTCATATACTGCTGGCAACCAAAAAGTCAACAGTGCTCCATAATACACACACATACACACTCTTATTAAATTCACTAACTGGAAATCTGTCTCAGATACTATTAGTCACACTAATTTCAATGAGCTGGGTCTAAACTTATTTGATTCAAACAGAAAGATTTGTGCAGACTTGAAGGTGAAATGTTTTTTGCACGGGCTTGTGAATGTTACTGAAGTGAGTCAAGCACCGCTGGTATGTGGCTCCGATCTGCCCCGCACCAGGAGAGATTTCTTACTATGGCAACAAGCGACATTTAGGGACCATATCTCAAAGGCTCATTGTACAGACACTATGGTTAAATGTACATTATTTAGCACAACAGTTATGAAAAAGCCTATCAATCAAAAATCTATCCCAATGTTATGGAACAAAACTGAACATAAAAATCTGGAGTGTTAGAGCAGATGGGATGATCCTAGTTGGAATGTAGCCCATCAATTAGGGCATAGGACAGTAACAACTATTGAAACAGGTCTTTGTCCTAGAGCGCCTCAGACATTTGTTAATGACAGAGATGTTCTGCCAGCACGAATTCATGCAATTCACTTGTCTTGAAGTCAGAAATACTTTAAGTTTTGTTCTTGTTGGAAACTAGATGATGGATATATTCAGGTCTAGCTGTACTATTCTGCACTGTGTGGTGTCATCCTGCACTGAAGTATATGCACCCTTTGTGTGCTTTTAATTGTCTTTTTTTAAATGGTAAAACTAAAAAATGATTGAAGCCCTCAGATGGAAAGCTTTTTAATGCCCTCCCACACTTTCTTGATCTCTTCCAGAATCTGAAGCTGATATGTGATATGTGTCAAGTATTAGCAAACGGTAGATTTAGAAAGACAGCAAATGGAGAGAAACCCGAGCCGAACAGCTAATCGCACACAGCCCAGCTATGAAAATCTGTATCTGTGTGTGTGTGTGTGTGTGTGTGTGTGAGAGAGAGGAGTATGGGAGCATCTATTTTTGGTATGCTTAGTTTTTATGTACGTAGGGGGAAGCAAAATGGCATCAGAAGATTTAAACTTCAGTGGTTCTTAGAACTCTATTGTCAAACAAATACATTTCCAAATCAGCTTCGGGACTTCATCCGAGTAACCTTAATGCCTGACTTTGAATTTGTTTTTTAATAACATATAATTTGCACAATAATAAATAATGTGCAAAGGTCTCATTGCCTATCATTTCATCACCGCTCATCATTTTACAAGGAGTCAAACTTTCTTATCATATTTTAAGGTGGTCTTGAACGATAGCTCACCAGGCTTTTTGAAGCTCTTTCAAAGTTTTCCTTTGGACATTGGTTCATTTGTCATTTAAAACTGACCTATGAAACATTGAAAATTCTTTAGCCGAATCTGTGAAAAATGCCAAAGGTAACACAGTTTGACAGGCATGAAGTAGTATTTTTGTATCAGTAAGGTGTCTTGATGCTCAATCATCCAGGTAAGAAATCCCCCAAAAGTTGATCCTTGAATAATGATCAAGGAAATGACCTCCCAGCCCACTGTTCCTTCAGTGGTGCTAGTTTCAGTCATTAATGTACTGTTTATAAGATTGAGGAAACTTGCAGTCAGCTGAGACTGAAGAAGTCACTTGGATGAGTTACGAAACGTTTCTCCCACTGAAAACACAACGTCCACATGGACAGAATTAACTTTTGGCGATATCAGGAAGGTGGTTCCCAAAGAGCTGTTAGCTGGAAATTTGGCATATCAATGTGACCTTAAAAAACATGAGGAAACTGGATAAGTGGAGGACAAAAGAAGATGTTGCAGGCCTAAAACATTATCTAAAAAGTATCTGACAACAGCTCTGATGAAGTGATGAGTCCAAATTAGAGAATTCTGATAATAAAACAGTGTACAACAGCGAGTGTCTCCAGACAGCTGTAAAACCAGTGGTGGTGGAGATCTTGTGAAAATTAATGGAATTATGAATACTGATAAGTAACATCAGATTTTGATCTACCTTCTAATACCATTTGGAAAGCCTCTGAGTGGCAACTGCCTCATTTTTAAGCGTGGAAACGATCCCAAACACACTGCCAACAGTAAAAGCATACAGTACTCGGATAGAAAAACACACAGTGGCCTCCCCAGAGCCCAGACCTCAACATTATTGAAGCAGTGTGGGATCATCTTTAAAGAGCAGTAAAATAGGAAAGCCTACAAAGAGCCAAAAAAGAGCTTTGAAAGTCCTTCAAGAAGCCTGGAGAAACTTTCCTGAAGACTACTTAGATAAATTACGAGAAAACTTGCTTAACAGAGTTCAGGCTGTGTTAAATAATAAAGGTGATTATACCAGGCAATGACTTTCAAGTTCATTAGAATTGTACAAAATCTGTTTTTGCCTTAGCTCAGAGATCTACTTAAGCGACACTTTACTAAACCTAAATAAAACTGTGATGCAGGGAATATTTACATTTCTAATCTGGATTTTTAAGGCTGTTTTTTCATATTCACAGATATTGTAATGTACTACAAATCAAAGTCTTGCAGTGTATTGTGATGCCATCATTATCTTAGGCAGACAGATTTAAAAGCACCCTACCTGCGCTCTATAGAGGCTGTATTAAAGCACTCAGGCTGTGATTCCAACACTACAAAGATGTAAAATCAGTGTAACCCTTCAAATTACTTCAGGTTCAGTAGGAGCAAAGTAGCAATGGGAATTTCTAGAGTAGAGAGCACCATGTGTGAGAATATTATACAAATAACCGCTCATTTAGTTGAATGTCTTTAAATTATTTATAGATGTTTCTTGTTGCTGCTGTGGAAGACAGAATACCGTCACTCTGATAAGAGTCACCTCCACATTTTAGTGCTCCTTGTTGCTGCACAGTGGGCTAATCGCTGCTTAATTCAGAGGTATTTCTGAAATCACATGCTGTTCTTTCCCAACTATGTTCTACTTTTATTGTAACAGTTGTACTTGCACTTTTCACCGTACACTTTTACACATGCACAGTGTCAATCTAGCATAGATGTAGGTGTTCAGTGATAAATCTATCTGAAATGAAAACGTCACATTTCTCATTTTTACTACCAGAACCAAAAGTGTCATCCGGATCCAACTTTGACTCAACACAAATAACATCTCATAAATATAAAAAGACAACCAAAAATATACACAAGGAGACATTTTTCCTTTCTTTGTTACCTATACACAAACACAAACACACGTGAAAATGTCTACCTTTCTGTTTCATGGTTTCTGTTCTTCTGCGCTGAAGTTCACGGCGTGAGTGAGGAGAGGCACTAACTGGACTGCTGGTCCAAGAGAAAGGGGTGGTTCCACAACACAGAGGCCAGGGGTGTGTGTTTGTGTGTGTGTGGTGTGTGTGTGTCAATGACAGAGGACAGCAGGACTGCCATTAAATTCTCTTGTGCTTCTAATCTATGACCTCATCCATACCGAGGGGGAGAGTATGTGAATGTGAGCTCACTGCAACGATGTAATTGTTTCTCTGAAATATAACGCTGCTGCACTTGTGTGTTATTCTGAAGTATTAGTGTTGGGGTTTTCTTTTAGAGGGAAAAACATACAAACTTTTCTATGTCGGCATTACATAAATGATGATCATATATCAGGATTACTTGATTGTTTTCGAAAAACAATCACACTGGTGCAGCAGCTGGGACTGTCAGATCATTCTGGGACTGAACGTTCCTGGGGGATCTCTGCATGCCTGTTTGGCTAATAGTTTATTTTAAATTGGCTCTTGTGTTCAGAAAAGTGCATTTTTGGCACCAAACTCTTATTTTGCTTTTGCGCTTCGCTGCAAAAGCCATGCCTCATTGTCCATTTGCACTGTGAAGCAATGTCCAAATAATTTTGCAGCATTTGTCTGAAACCGAGCAGAGAGCATCGTCCTGTGTACTTCAAAATTTATCCTGCTTCTTCTGTCAGCAGATACATCATCAATAAACACTGATCACCTCGTTCCACTGCCCAGATTTTGTTTCCAGAACTGTTCAAAGTCTGTTTGATGTTTTCTGGCAAAGGCTTCAGATGTTTAACCTGAAACCAACTAATAATTCTGTCATTATACACTTTAGCTGTCTTCTGTGATGTTTCAGGACTTTCTTGTGTTGCTCAATAAACTTCAGCTTCAAGATGTGCACAGCAAGGGTTGTGCAGACTTATGATGACTGAAACTGTGATGCATGCAGTCATCATGAGTGCATGTAGACCTCAACCCTATGGACAATTTGTGAACTACGCTTAAAAGCCGTGTCTGTGCCAAGAAACCAATTGATTTAACTCTACCTATTCTATCAGTCAAATATTCAGCCAGAATTGTGTCAGAAGTTTGTTGATGGATACCAAAAGCATCTGATCCAAGGTACAACTTGCTAAGGGACATTTAACTAAATATTAGTTAGGGGTTTATGTCTGTATCTATAATTTTGACCCAGTATGGATTAGAGAAAACGTTATACCACTTTATAAACTTGAGGGAAATATCAAGCAGCAGCTCATTTTTCAAAAGATACGACCAATAGCTAACACCTAATGAAGTAACGAGTCATTACCTGACAGCTCTGCAGGTATACCTGCCAGCTTTTCACACAGAATGTAGTCGTTAGGGTTGAGGAACGGTAGCTGCTCCATTAAGGACTGCTTTGGAATCAAGTAGAGAACCTCTGCGAGTTGACCGTCTTCAATTATTGACATGCGCCTGACGGAGTTCTTCCTCTTCACCCGGTCCAGAACTATCATGTCGTTGCTGTGGCTGGAGCCGCAGATCTTGCCCAGGTTGCTGAGGTTGAGAAGGCTTGACACGCTCATGTTGTCGAGACTTTCAGCCAAACAGTTCAGGCTGAAGACCGACTGCTGGTTAGAAACCATAAAGCAAACTTGAAGAGGTCAAGCCCTTGTGTGGAATGTCAGGTATTAAATCGACTTTGTGAGTCAGCGTGAGTGTGTGTTGTCCATCAGGCAGTCGCAGACTAACTCCCACCGCACACCCCTTAAGAAGCTTAGTGTATTTTTAGGGTTGATCCTCACAGTAATAGAGGATCTCAGCTCTTGGAAGTCTCTTTCAAGGAACCTCCGTTACTAAAACCTCAGTTTTAGTAACACTGACTTCACACAAGTATGTCAGCATTCAAATCTTACTTTTCTACTCAATTGGGGCAGTTTCTTAAGAAGATTATGAGCTGTATGCCCGTATTTGAAGCTTTGAAAAAAAGGGCCATCCATATCTGTACAAGTCAGTCTGTTTGATGGTTGGACGGATTATGGCTGAACTAAAGGACAGCTGGACACAGACACACATGTACATGTAAATGATATTCACTAACCTTATAACACCGTTTAACCCACCTTACTCATGCCGTCTCAGCTTTGCTATAATCTAACCAGCAGATGAATGAAGCACAACACAAGTGACTGAACAGTAAATGTGACACAGCAGATCCAGAACAGTACGATTGTTACATCATCTGCAGGATTGTTTTTCTTATCAAAAGAGAAGAAAATGCAGCTTATTTTATTTATTGTTATTATAACTGATTTAACCTGGTTACAGCTGCACAGAGGAATGAATTGAAAATCTTCAAACGTTGTCAGAATCACCAACTTTACTTCTTCCTCCTGTCATACTCCTTGATACTGTAAGTTATAACTCAAGAATCAAAAGGCATTTTGCACAAGTATTTGCATTTAGATTTTATTTAGTAGCATTGATGTTTTGTCTTTTAGAAATGGAAAAAACTTGTACAAGACCGAGTATCACTGGACCAATACAAATGGAAAACGGAATTAAATACACCGATGTCACTAACAATATAAAAAGTAGTAGCATGTCCAGAATTAGGCGGCATGGGGAAAATCAGTGAACGCCTTAAAGACTCTGTGGTATTCACTGAAGAGGGTGTGCTGCTATTTATCTGCAGCTATTTTAACCAAGGCCACATTCTTACAGGTGTTGACAGTTTGATGGGTGTGATATGAAGTACTGTTATTCTGCCTACCTCCCCCAAAATTCCCACAATCACTTATAAAAAAAAAGAAAAAAAAAAGGGCCCACTGCAGATTTGGGGATTGACAATAAAATTCAAAAGGTTAAAATACGGGAAACATCCAACTGAGGTGAAAATCCTGCAAAGAGAAAAGTGGACTCTTCACAATCCCATGATCTTGATACAAACTGTACATGTGTGAGGAGCGCCACCTAATGGCTGTTGTGTGTTTAACATGCACTCATAAAAGAGACTACAACCGAACGCTCCACCTGCAGGTCAAGTTGACGTGCTGAAATCGCAACTTTGCAAGAACATCTTTAACATGTTTGTGTGAAGAAAAACATTTTGTGAACACTACTTACATGATCACCATTTATGTTGCATATTTCAATAAACGCAAGTTCTGATGACTCTTTTCTAAATCTGTTTTCAAGCAACCAAATGTGTGAGAGAAATAACTCTTTCTAGCAGTTATAAGCACCACCGTGTGTAGCAGCTAGGTGCTGATCGTGTCTGTCATGTGCTGTGTTTGTGGTCACTGTGAGGGAAAACAAATTAAGTTTCAAGTTGCACAGATAAAATACTAAACTGAAATGATAGAAGTTTGGAAAGCAGCAGAATTACAAGAATCTCACTGTTGTTACAAATAAAATTTAGTAACTGCAGGAATTTCCACACAACTATTTATAGCAGTAAAGTCATAGTCACAACAAGACTGACAAAATGTGTTTCAGTGTTTGTAATAAATTTTTAACACAAAGTTAAAACTCGAACAGAAATCTGTAACTTACAAAAGTATTCAGACTGTTTGCTTTTGTGTTACCATCATCAGATACATCCCTTTTTCTTTAATAATCCTGGAAATGTTTCTAGAACCTGAGTGAAATCCACCAGAGGGAATTTAAAACATGGTTTATAACTGTAGATTTTTTTAAAGAAATTTTTTATTTTTAAAACAACTTCTGAAGCAATCAGGAACGATTTGACTTTTTAAAAAAAACGTGATATAAAGGACCTGATTTGGCAGGACTCGTCGTATGCTTTTCTTGCAAGAAGGATCTCGGTCAAAGAGGCGACCAAGGACCTGAGACTCTTTTAACGGTAGTTTGGTTATCTGTGAGATGAGAGAAGCCCAGGATATCCATCTCAACAGCACCTTACTAATCGCCTTCACGGCTGTGCAGCCACATGGAAGTTACTCTAACTAAAAGGCATAACAGATTCATTGAGCTTCCAAACAGCAAACTTTCTCAAAGGAAAGGAAAAGATAATCTAGCCAACACCAGACATGACTCATAACCTGCTCAAAACTTCACTGTAATCCCTACAGTGCAGCATGATGGTTGTATGATAGGGATACTCGTCAGAGCTGCTGAAAACTTAATGAATGGCATGAAAAAGGAAAAGGAAAGGTCTTGAATACCTTCTGAGTTGACTGCATTACTCAAAAACAGCAAGAATAATGCTCAAATAACAAAAAACTGTGTAAATGAAAAGCTTAAGAGTTAATAGAACGAGATTGAACAGCATCACCATCTTGCTCATTTGGCTCTTCCTCTGCCTGGGTGAGTGGCTCTCGGTCCAGGTCTCTCTGCTCCTGCCCTGACTTCTTGGTTGTCTTGTTCAGGGTCCCACCCTGTAGGGACAAAAAAAATAATAATTAACTTCCTGCTGAGTGTGTGTATAGAGTATAAACTCATGAGATAACTTCTACAGATGTCTGACCTGTCTGTGATCAACAACATTAAGCAGCACTGAGGTCACAATGCAGCTGATGGTGTTGGCCAACATGAAGATCATCATCCTTTGCCAACGCCACAGCGGGATCTTAGTTTCACTGCAACACAAATGGAGAAACTGCAGAGCTAAACGAGACTGGAAGGACAATTAGTGCACGGCAATGAGATTCTAATGTCAGGTTCTCCCCACCTGGACTTGGTGCCTAGTATTTGTCCAACAACGAGATTGGAGATCCCGATCCCAATCATCTGTACGGAGGTGGCCAGGCCCATGGCAGTTCCCAGGGTCGCCTGAGGTACGACAAGGGGAATAGACGGCCACATGCTGGCCTGGAATGCCACACAGGCAGCAACAAGTTTAACATACTAGGAAATACATTAATTCATTGTAATAATTTACCATTTTACTGATGTCTATTTACTCACAGCCGCAAAGGAGTAGGTGACTCCCAGCCATATGGTTGAAACCAGAGGAGGGACAAAAGTGAAAGCCAGGAGTCCAAACACGGGCAGCGTGAGGACAGCGCACGCCACTGCGAAGACTCCCCGCAGACCCACATAATCCTGAAACACATGGCAGCGAGAGTGTTTCATGATAAACCAACTCAACTCAATGCAGGAATACAATTTGGTGTAGACTAAAGATACATACGATGAGAATGCCCACGCTGGCTGAGAGGACCAGTGAGCTGTCATAGACTGCTCCTGCAATATAAGCCGCCTCCTTCTGGCTGTAGTAGCTGTACTTATCCTGGATGAACTTGCTGGCAAATGAAAAGAATAAATGGCAGATGTGAATGCTTATGACACCAGTATCACTTTGGTGCTGGTCTATTCAAAGGAATGCTGGGTTATAATTCACTGGTTGCTCTGAAAGTGGTGTGTAAAGGTGTTTTTTTTTTTTGTATCTTTGTCGCATTTAAATGTTTCAGATCAAACAAATGTAAATATTACATTACAATCCAAACCTACATGGCCCTGTGTGAAAAAGTAATTGCCCCTAAATCTAATAAGTGGCGGGGCCACCGTTAGCAGTAACAAATTCACTTAAGCGTTTGCGTTAACTGGCAATGAGTCTTCACAGCGCTGTGGAGGAATTTTGGCCCATTCATCTTTGCAGAAATGTTGTAATTCAGCCACATCTGAGGGCTTTCAAGCATGAACTGCCGTTTTAAGGTTATGCCACAGCATCTCAATCAGACTCAGGTCAGGACTTTGACTAGGCCACTCCAGAGTCTTCATTTTGTTTTGTTTTTTTCCAACCATTCAGAGGTGGATTTGCTGGTGTGGTTTGGGTCACCCAGGTGCCCTTCAACTTGAGGTTGAAGGGCACAGATGGCCTGACATTCTCCGTCAGGATGTTTTGATAGACGTGCCACACGGTTCCATTTACCACAGCGTGTCTTCCAGGTTCAGAGGCAGCAAAACAGCCCCAGACCATCACACTACCACCTAGGGCTGGGCCATATTATACTGTTCACGGTAATACCGGTATAATGTTAGGCAACGATAGGAAAATGAAATATCGCGATAGAATGGGAGTAAAACGCGCACGCGCAGTGCCTTTGTTTTCATACGCACATGGTCGATTGTTGAGTGAAACAGATGAACCAGAATTGGTTTGTAAAAATGGTGCAACTTCCGTGATGTGGAACTGGTTTGGGGTTTGTCCGTCAGATACACAACAAAGCACATTTTTTTGCAGAACATGCAAGCGGCCGTCATTATTGTCGTATTTGTCGGACTAAGATGCTCTTAAATCTGGGAGTAATCTGGGTCCTAAACTCTGTATGCTTCAGGTCAAACAACACTGCAGCATCACTGAGAGTTAAAAACTGTCTAAATTCTTTCATCTTTAATAAAACGATCAGCATTGCTGCTTTACCAGGTGTAACTATGAAGTTTAACTTCCAGACATCCATGAAAACAAAAGTTATTACATTTAACGGAGTTAGAAGTTAGCAGGAAGCTAGCGGAAGTTAGCTCGCTAGTTTCGCTAGTTACCTAAGCGTGATATAGCA